TATTAAGAAAAAGTTGTCTACGAATTTTGACACATTTGACCTCTAGGCCCTTGACAGTAGGTCAAGATAAACAAAACAAACTTTGTAGCCCTTCATCCAAGCATGGTTTATATGTTCAAGCCCAATATCAGCACCATTGACCTTTTTGTTATCGAGACAATGTCGTTTAAAGACTCTGACATATTTTACCTTGAAATTTTAAAAATATGAAGAAACTTGGTAGTCCTTCATTCAAGCATGCTATAGGTCTAATATCATCACCCTGGTCCTTTTGGTTATTAAGAAGCCGTTTCAAAATTTAGCATATTTGATCCCTGTGACCTTGAAAGCAGACCAAGGTCATTCATATTAACAAACTTAGTAGCCCTTCATCCCACTATGCTACTTGCCCAATATCAGCACCTTTGACCTTTTGGTTATTAAGAAGAAGTTGTCTAAACATTTTAACATATTTGACCCTTGTGACCTTGAAAGTATATTTTTCTTTTTATTATTATCATTTTAAAGATTACTCTTTTATTCGCCGATCAATTTTAATACACCTGTTGGATGGTCGGGTAACGCACTCGCCTTTCACCTAGCCTACCGGTGTTCGATTCACAGAATAGATGTGAAAAGGTACGTGCCCGACCACGTGGGTTTTTCCTGGGAACTTCAGTTTTCAGTGAGGAAACAGCTGTATGTTTAGGAAAAGCATAACACACATACATATATATAATCCTAAACAAACATTCAAACCATCAGCTATAAACTCATCCTTCCCTAAATACAATGTAATTGTAAAGAAGAACATAAAGGAGAAATACACACACACCACACACACACACACACACACAAATACCACAAATACAGAGAGAGAGAGAGAGAGAGAGAGAGAGAGAGAGAGAGAGAGAGAGAGAGATTGGAATGACCTATCAGAGACAAACTTCTTCCTATACTAATCTCAGTAGACTAGCATTGCTTAAAATGTACATGCGCATGTGTATATAGAAACCAGCTTTGACTGTAGAAGATACAAGAAAAGCAGAAAGTACACTATCTAAATTACAAATCAGTGATTTTTCCCACTTTTTCCAATATCTTTCAAAGTTCGCTTTTGCAATGTCACCCTTACTATTAGATATAAAAGTTTTTGGAGTATATAATAATCTATTATTTTTGATACCAGTCCATTGATATTAAGGAAATGATTAAAAGAACGTGTTCTGTATATTAGCTGTTTTATAATGAGAAGTATTTCATTGTCACCTGTGCTTTCATTACTTTTCTGTGATATCAATCAAAGAATAAACAACGCATCAAGCAGGATTTCAAGACTATTAAGTAGACTCTGGACTTCTTGACAATCCCATGAAATGTAGTGATAGTTTCATTTTAGAGTTACATAGATTACACGATGGTGAAATAGCTATACGTGATTTGAAAACAAAAGAGTTTTGTAGTTTAGATATAATGGTTAACTCTGTAATGGAACTATTGAAGTTTTGTGATTTTAGTAACATTTAAAGGAATGTTATACTTTTCGCCCATACTAAATCATCTAGATCAAACATTTCATTCCATTTCTTTTTTCCTGTGGGAACAGCTTTGTTTTCTAATAAGATATCATAAAAAAACTTTAGAGTCTTTACCTTATTTCAGGAATATTTCCAAATCGATACCGTACCCAAATTGATATCTTTTACGGAAAAAGTGTCCGTCAACCCTTCGGGATAAAATATGCAGGAATTCGCACTAATTACGTAAAAATAACAACATCTTACTGTTTATTCAACACTGATTTGTTGTACAAAGCATCTAAAATTCTCTGTAAGACTCTTTCGAAGTGGGCAAAAAAATGTCATAAATGTTACTATCACAAATCATACGGTCGTGCGACGGGTATTTTTCTAGTCCTTTTTGGCATTTTTAAAACATAACCAAAGAATCTTATCTTACATGTTAAACTCTAAAATCTTTAACAATCATTTCCGTGTAGAAAATATCTAAGTATATCTCAGTATCTTCAGTATTTTTGTATCGAGGAGTCATCACTGTTGTAGTCTCCGCCATCTTGTTTACACTGGGCGCCACAAAAAACGCAAGGTGCCCGACAGAAAACCCGGATATGCTCTTCGTGGCATTAGAGCTGCTTTTGTTAAGTTACAAAATCATTTATTGTCTGTAAATAATAATGAATTCTGAAGTACTAGTTTTTCTTTTTATTCGTATTGAAAATGACCCCAAAATCTTCAGACTAATATGCAATAGATTCTACTGTACGTTATGTACAAAGTATTATTTCTTCTACTGAAATAGTCGTAATGTACAAATAAGCAATCACTCATTGGATATTTGTGTTTGTTATGAGGTAAAATTGATCTTGTATCACTTATTAACAACACAATTTAAACACAAAATCCAACCTTTCAAATGTATGCAGGGACCTACATCTAGCCAAGTCTCTGGCCATAATGTTGTTGTTGCTTTAATTTGCAGTAGAGATAAAGCCATTTAAAAGAAACAAGAATTTTATGCTTTCTTGTATATAAAGAGCATGACTCATAAGCCCTGAAGAACTATTAGATATTAAAATTAAGCATTTCCAAAATATTATTTACGACATTGAAAGCATGCACTATCAAATATCAGGCAAATAAAAATGCCAATAAATAAAATCTTTGCACGATTAAGATTAGATATAACTTTATATTCTGTGTATGGTGAATCTTTGTTTAATTTGATGGGATTTTTTTTTTTTTTTTTTTTAATATTTGAAATTGATATTTGAAAACGAACACATATACATGACTCAGACATGTAACAAAACATTGAATGCAAATACAAAAATGTTTGAATTTTATTTTCAACTTCAAGTATAAGTAATTCATCTCAATCCAAACTGCAATTTGCAGTAAACAATCATATTAAAGACAAACTTTAATATAAAAAAAACTGTCAATGATTATGAACTGAGCCATATGATTGTTGGATGTCATTTGACGGTCAATCCAGTCACATTGTGACCATACTTAGATACAGTGCCACAGTCAGGAGACATCCTTACTGTCAAGGTGGACAAAATAAGAAGTAATTCTCAAAAGAGGAAGAATTAGTTCCATTGGTGAAAGCCATATCATGAATGTTTTGAAATGCCACCCAGGATTGTTAAAGAGAAAATCACAAACACTTGTTTGTATGTCCAATGAAGCACTTTCCTTCATTCCACGAATCTGAAAGCAATAAAACAATGTCTTGGTAAGACAATGTAGTCATTAACTTTCATCTTTACATCATACTGATATATATATACAAGTAATTATTTTTAAAAAAACATGAATAAGTTTTCATTATAATGCATTTTTTTTACATATTACACGCTAAACCGGTACCAGATATTGACTCTAACTGATTATCTCCCCCTTATCTTCACTTCTACCTGTACCAGGTAATAGGATACATAATGTATGGAGGCAGATAATCTACCTCTATATCTATAATATCACATCTATATTAATTCATGCACATTATAGTATTATGAATTTGATGCATATGATATAACTGAATTTCCCACTTTAGGACAAGGTATACATCAATAATGACCAGACTGATCTATTTAGAGCAGCTTTTCAACTCATCACATTCAGCAGCAACCATATACATGTACATGTATATGTGTCAGGAGATAAACTTTTTACCAACTTTGTCAATTACAAGAATGTTATAAGAAGGGAGAAAAATCGAAACATTAAGTATGATACATGAATTATGAAAGGTCTCTATACATGTAGACCTCTGATATTTTACATACATTGAAAGAATGAAAGATTAAAAGATGAAGTTATCAAAATGATATTTGCAACATATCTATGATTCACTAATAAGCGAGCAAACGTTCAATGATCGCATATGAAAATATCTGCTGATAAATGCTTTTAAGTTGCTTTCAATTTTATTTTTTGGTTTTGCAAAGAACACAGACCATATCAATGCCGCATTCACACTAGATATGTCACAGACCATACTCTATGTTTCAAATAATTATAAAACACAAGGATGTTTTGTTGTACATGTGTACGTTTACGCTAACATGCCGTGAACAATATGTTACATAACGTCGATCGGTGTATTACTGTGCACAACAACGCCTGTCTTCATTTCCATATTTACACTAGAAGTATGAGTAATCATTATGATGTGGTTCAAAATATACACTTAAGTCTCATTTGTTCTGTAAAGTCATGACTTTCGACAGAATATGCTGAGCCTGTTTTATCCCCTTTTTTCTCAGTGTTTCTATTTGGGTACACGCACCTTGTTTAATATCAGAAGTGATGACATATCATATTTACTGTTCTATTAATAAACACACGCGCTCTTAAAGTCCAACCAACACACGGAGAGGAAGTTCTTGATCACTCTTTGTCAAGATAAAACAAACAATTGAGAATTGATCCGCTGCAAACGAAATATTATGGTAAACCATTGGAAATTGGTATTGTTTTCGGTATAGCAGGGTGACTTCCACGTGCCCTATAAACTGTTTGAAATGTGTTGTAACGATGGTGGAGTGAACTGTCTACATATGCTCGACATACCAGGAGGAATGTCATTAATTTTAATCAGCCGGCTGCAGAGAATGTTACACTATTTCTGGGATTGGAATAAAAGATGTTTATTTTTGAACTAGTCTGTTAGTGCTAACCGTCAAATTGAAAGGTTCGCGTTTCTACGTGACACGGGGGATAACTCTAACTTATTAAGTTCGATAATGCTAGTTTCGTTTTCAACAAAAGACGGAAATGATATCCTGCTAGTAGCGCAACCTGCGTTAACGCTATCGAAAAGAAAGCAGAGAAAGTTGTACGCTTATCGTGAGTATAATATTAAATGACAACCTGTATACAACACGACTTATACAACCAACGAACTTTAATCAATGACTTAATTCTGGTATTTCTTAAAGTATATGGGTCATTCTCGGGTTCCGGCATGTTTACACCGTGCCATTTCTAGTTCCGGTGTGTAACACTGTGTCTTTCTCGGGTTCCTGCGTGTAACACTGTGTCTTTCTCGGGTTCCTACGTGTAACACTATGCACGATTTTGTAAGTAATTTGCACATATGTTCACTGTGATATCTTTTTATTCTGTTTTTCCTCTTAAACACGATAAATGAGTAAATATCGAGGCATAGTCTTTATAAATTGTGTATATGACTCGTGCAGCCTACAATGTAGCCTGGCGGATGTCGTGTGTATACTTACTGTATACTCTACATGTACGTTCATAGAAATTTACATACTTAGATATGGTTGAACAAGGGACGTGTAACTTCTCCGTCTAGATTTTGGCTTTTCTTTCGATCACTTTGGATTTACGCTAGTTGCCTCCTAGGCTTCAAAATTTGGACTCTTAGCTTCACCGGCGAGTCCTAGAAGGACGAAACAGCTGTGTGGTGCCATTGAATTCCTCCTTTGGCTCTACTGGATCTGAATCTAAATTTGTATTAAAAGGTGCTGGTCACTTGTGTGTCTTTTGTACAATTTCTCAACTACACATCGCTTGGTTGGGCACAGCTCGGTATATGGGTAATACGTGTACTCGTGCATTATAGAGATCTTTATAAATTAGTTTCTCACATAAAAGTAAAACATAAAAATGAAACATATAAAGTTGTTTTAAACATTTACAACAAAAAGGGTGTCATATTTATTAGGCATGGCCCAATGACCAATGCAACATTGTGGATTTTTACACAAACAGTGAATATAGTACGAACTTGATCATCCATTACTTATCATTATACGGTATAGTGTGACTAAAAAACGGTATACAGGAAAATTCGTGCTGACCTAACACATATACACTGTAGTCAATGGAGAAAAAGTGTCAGTGAAATATTTTGTCATTTTATCACAAAGTTAGATTTCATAATTGAATATTTTGTATACGAATACATGTATATACAGTGCCACGCTGGCTAATGGGTCATGTTAAAAGATGGCGCCCCTTTTTGTTGCAAATGTTTAGATTAATTCAATTCGATTACAAATCTTACTTTATAAGTACATTTGCATTTGTTTCTATTGGAAATGACACTGCATTTGAATAATGCATTGGTTTCTTAAAGCAGTAACTAATTCCCAAAACTCCGAACTTCAACTATGATCCATATTTGGGATTGTTTATACCCTTTTGGTAATAACAGATGTACATTTACACACCTGCCGTTTTTGATACATTGACAGACAACAACGAAACAACAAAGGATGACCCCAGTGTGGTTTTACCAGGTAGTCTTGGTGTCAGTGTTATACTCATTTGCTGGCAGCGTCTCGCTCAAAACACATTCACGAGATAATACCTTATACGTGAAAGCTGGAAACAACAGAGGTGACAATGTTAAGTTCAGTATTAAGGACAGTGGGCATGCTGTAAACTGTGGTAAGTATTGATGGTAGTGTTACATCTGATCTTATAATGTGAAAAGATTATCAAGAAATCGATATAACCGTATTCATGTAGTTATGTAATATAGTTGTATATTTTATTTTCTGTATTTTTGAAATATTTTCTCTGTCATTATATTTTGATGTTTTTACGATCTGTCGTTTCGATTATTCACCTCATCTGTTTAATCACCAACTTAGATAATAATATAATAATTCCATTGTATAACACATGGATGTGTAATTTCTTGCCCAGTGGTGATGAAAACTCTTCAATAAAAAATATTCCATTCTATTCTTTTCTCCTAAAGCGTTCATGGAAGACAAAAGAAAAACATTGTTGTCTGTTTTTTTCGGCTTAAAACTATAGAATGGTTGGTGTTTTTCTTTAAATTTGAATATATCGTGCATATAGGTTTATTGATTATCCAGCAAGAGTTGAACATGTGTCAGCGTAAATGATGAAGTCAATTGAATTGTTATATACTTTATCACTGTACTTCGTTTCAGGACCGGCGGCTAATAAGATGGACTTCAGCTGGTCCCCAAAGATCTTGCATCCTTCTTCAAAGCAGTTGACAGTAAATCTGGATATGTTGGCCAGTGGGTTTAATTTGTAATTTGTTGTCGAGTTTCCATAAGATTTCGTTGTATTCTAAGACGTTGTGTTTTGCATACATCAGTACTGGGTGTGTTCATATCGTAGATTGTCAAGTTATCACAAAGATTTTATGGAACAAATTAATTGGGTATACGGCAACAGATTAAAGCCTATATGTATCCACCTTCTCCCTAGGATGGACAAATGAATAGTATTACATGTAATTATAGTGGTACTAATAAGTACATAATTAGATCACAGTCACTACAACACGAGCTGACAGATAAAGAGTTAAGTTAGAGGCGAGTTACTTACGAAAGACCAATTCAAACATTTCGAAAAGAATGTTACATTTAGCAAGATTTGTTCAGCTTCATGACAAAACGTTAAGTCCATTTGTGTTGTGCACTTGGCATAAACACAGGTATGGTGAATTAGGAGAGAAAGCCCTTACTGTGAAGTGTAACCTAGATGTAAACCTTCCCACAGCCAATACATAATCTGTATTTCTCTTTTCAGCGGTCGATCTCGACTTGGGTCAGGTTTTTCTCAATGCTACTGATAAAATGGCACCAGACACGCCCATATTTCAAGTGAACAGGACGGGTGGATGCCAGAGTCTCCAAAGTTTTGGTTTTAAAAATCTCAGCTGCCCCGTTAAGACAAACGGTAAGGATAAATTCTGATACACGCCTACAGATTACATGTCTTTTTTGGGGATATTCTTCTCAACATTTTTACACGATACATTCTTATCTGTGGCTTCATTTTTGAAGTTGGAATGCTCGTTTCTGTATATTTTATTGATGTTTTTTATTAATGAGATATGCCCCTATATTGCAGAGGCAGGGCATCGTCACTGTAAACCATACAGGTTTAAAAAATGAATACCGAATACCTGTCTGGTCGCAAACGATCATCCAATTCACATTAATCAGGAACAATAACTACCTTACAATTATTCCAACACCAAAATGGTTGTAATTCTCCACCATAATTTCACAGTTTTAGGCGCCAACACAAGTTGCTATAAAACCGCATGGAACATTCCTCGAATTACTGGTGTATCTCATTTCACACAATCGGACAGGCCTTACATAATACCATTCAATATGAACTGTATTTTGACATTTATTTTTAACGTTGTTTACAGGTTAAAAATGTACCTTGATTTCTTTACTTTCTCAGACACATTAAAGACGTATATAACGAAAACACAAGTACCTACCTTTCCTGAGGTAAGTGACATGTAGCTTTTACTAAAGGTTCCTTACGGGCATAAACTCCGACTAAGACGTAGGTGTGGTCCTTTTCAAATGCTATTTAAGTGATTATTTTTGTCAAAAGATGTACACGTATGCTTACATTGTGCTTAACAATAACGTAAAACTAGAGTGTGTGTTTATAAAATCGTGTCTCTGCACCTCTACTTGTTTATTTGTTTAGACCGATTTTAATATATCACGCTTCAATTTCATGATTTCCACATGACCCCCCCCACCCCCCCTCCTCCTTCCTCCTCCTATAACCACTGAAGAGTAAGAACACAAATATCTGTGTGATTCAGTTTTAATTACTACTAAATATATATATGGAGTTTGTAAACATACATATACTGAAACGTGTTTATTTGTACATTTGATTTTATTTACCAAAGATAGCAATTAAATACCGGTATATACGGATAGATTCACACAATGAAATTACAAATCATGTGACAATGATAGAGGTTTACATGTAAGATGTTAAATTAGAAAACGATGAAGAACTATAAAAGTCTGGAGTTGCCTAATTGACAGCACCCCTTCTCCGATAGTTGGAACTTTCAATCCGGACAAAGGGATTTTATTATACATGTATATAAATTCGTTGGAAATATGCATTGAATGTAGTTCATGTTTCTGGGTATATCCTCAACAACATGGCTTACAGTGGTATTTAAAATTGTTGTTCAGCAGAGTATGAAGAAAAGCTTTATCAATGTTACATATCCTCATGTCATTGTTTCTCCTTACAGGGTGAGTTTATTATCACTATCGTCGTTTATAACGAGAAGAAGGAGATGTTTCTGTGTCTGAAAGCGGACATCACTGTCCAAACTTGACCTTGTTGGAGTTGGAAAGATCTGTCAACACATGACGTCATTATAATGTGAACCAGTTGGTGACACGCTTTCTGTTTGCTTTTCGAACTAGAAATGTTTTATGATGTTATACAAACGATTACTTTGCCAAAACTGGAAATTTCGTATTCTGACAGGTAACTGATTTCCATTGTATTGCACAAAACATGTTTGATCCTGAACAAAAAATTACATGTTGGAAGTTCCGTTATTATACTGAGAATTGAGCTCATAAGAAGACATGTTCCATGTGAAAAGAATCGTTTTCTATCGACATTTATCACTTGAATGCCGACTCAGACGAGGGTCGCTTATTAAACGTTTTATAGGGCCGGGTGTCTGACCTTCGTCGTAAACTATTGTGATTACCATACTACTGTATGATATAATCTGTATATCTAATGTACGGAATTATGCGCCTTAAAGTATATCAGGAACACTTGTACTATATTTTTATAATCCTTTTGCACGACCTTGTCTAATTTTGATTCCCGTTAAAGTTGTCTAAGCCAGAGATGGATGTTATCACATCAATCCTAGGCCGTACACGTGTATGTTTTATACGTGTTCATGCTCTGTAAGTACAGTTTGGAATCTCTCAATAGTCCAGATCATTTTTTGTTTCCTCAAACTGAAATAAAATGTCAGTTACAATACATTGCTTAAAGTTACAAATTTCAAAAACAACGATATTTTCATTACTTGTATGTCGTTAAAATACTGATACTAATCTAAATCGAGATCGATTGTCATTGTTGACTTTAACATAACACATTCCAGGCTTACGCTCTGATGTGATACTGTGAACTTGCTATGTATTTAACGTGTGTATGGTACACTGATATTGTCATTTCATGATTTCTTTGTTGTCATTTTCAAATAGATTAGAATTTTAATGTTTATTTTGCAATACTAATGTTGTTTGATATCGTTTTTTGTATATAATATATATTAATTGTGATCCACGATTTGACCTTTACATTTGTGTAAGTTTTTGTAAGCTATATTCGGGTGCATGATACTGACAATAAATATATAATGAACATCATTATATACCACGATATAATTTGTTATGTGTTTTGGTGGCATTTATGTGAGTTGACGTAATTATTCTGTTGAAACATATCAGTTAATATTTATAAATAATGATGTGTGTATATATATATTGTTGAATACATAAATAAAAAATTATTCAACTCAATTCACTTTAATTTTCAATATTCTTATTTAAAACGTCCACCTTTTTGTGACATAACTTTGACATTATACCATACCGTCATAGGAATATTTATAATACAGGTAGAGGATATATTATGTTTTATTTCGCACCAACGTATTCTATGAGAATCTCAATGTTTCTGACGTGTCTTTCACTTCTTTAATGTTTATAATAATCGTCCCATAAGTATTCATTGTGAACACTTGTACTGAAATTCTATTTATTGTTTTTAATTCATATAACTTTTCACTCAATGGTCCCGAAGCCGTTTTAAGTGGTAACTCATGATACATATTAAGCACATCACTTATCTGCTGTGTCAGTACCTAAGATAAATTTATATAAATATTTATGTTAATGTATTATCATTAATTTCTGCATTCGTATCCACTGTCTGAATACAAAGGTTGACTGTCCGAAAGATTTTATATTTGTCGAATTCAAGAAACAGGTTATCAGGTCTTAATTATAAAAAGTCTTCAATCTGATAGTGTAGGTTTTGATTTTGATACAGACTAAAAGAAGTTGACATTTCAAACGCCACATACATATTGATATACATGTAGTTCGCAACAGAATGAAACAGGAGTAAGTATTTATGAGGTTAAGCTAAATTTTGTCAATTGCTTGTAATTCATAATAAAACGTTTTTTGTTAATACATTTGTGTCGTGTTTTTATCATAATCGTACAATTTTCATGATAATTTTTATAAACATGTTTTCTACCATAACCTGCGTATGTTATCACACGCCCAGCCTATCCATTAAACACGATATTCATGGCTTATTCATACGCATAATACACATGTGTATTATTGGTGATAGCCAAATCTATTGGACGAGGCATTGACATTTGACCCAGCCATGATCTGTGACCCCGAATTACTTTCGCCACGTGCGATTGTTTTCATCGTCTGCTGCCCATCATGGAGACGGGCAAGGTCGTTTCGGAAACAAGATACAGGTTTGACATTTCCCCTGACCCTATCGTCACTGTCTCAACTAAGCCTACCGCTGAACCCCGCCCCATTTCCGACAATAACATCGATGGTCCAGTGTATGGAGGCACAATAAACATCAACTTTCACAATAATAAATATTTCTCTCGAAAAAGACCCATGGTGATGTACAGTTCTGATGAAAGTGATTAGAAGTTCTCGAAATTACACGCTATCTTTATCGTGTCTGCATTCACATTTTCCCGCGAAGAAGCACTACTCTATCCGCATTAAAATCTAGTTCCAAATTATCTATTTTTTAAAGATTAGCAATTTGTGTAATTTTGAAACGTGTTTCAATGAACTAATGTTACGGGATGTTTCTAAACAAGGTTACTGAATAAATAAGTAATTTGCTTCAAAATTAGCGATTTTGTCTCTTTTTGCATATTAATGAGCCAATCAGACAACCTACGATGTATTCTTACGCGAAAGTGTCAATGGGGGCGAAACAATGTTGTACACAATATGTATATGTTGACGTTAAAAGGTTATGGTAGAAAAAAGTTCTACAACTCGTGGCAGTTGATTATCATCGTTATCAAACTCTCGTTAGTTAATTTTCAAATTTTGAAAAGACACGAGGCTTTGCCGAGTGTCTTTTCTAAATTTGAAAATTAACTAACTCGAGTTAGATAACGATGATAATCAACTGCCACTCGTTGTAGAACCTCTATATAATACACTGCATATGACGAATAATTTAGGTATAGGATTACTTTGCTTGACGGCTATAGCGTATGGTAAATAAATGTATAAAATCTACTAACAAATTTACACTGGTTAAGATTTTGTGTCTCATCATTTCCTTTAACTGCAGTTACGTTCTTGTGCAAGGTAGATGGTTTTTTTCGTGTTGATTTTTTATATCTACTAAGTTAACATTTATCTCATAGGATTATGTTGTTGATTTTTGTCTCCGCGGACCCTGTTGTTGAATTTTGTCTCATCAGGCCCTGTTGTTTATTTTTGTTTCATAAGATCATGTTATTGATTTTATCTCCTCATGCCCTGATGCTGATTTTTATCGCCCCTTCATATTATATAATACGGACTAACTTCACAGTTTATTAAAACTACACAAGGAAGAAAAATATTGAATTAATTTCAATCCGTTTTACGATTTATGGATAGATACTAAAATCAAGAAGCTAGAAAAAAAAAGCAAAAAAGAAAAATAACACTAGATCACATATATTAGTTTTCGAAATTGTAATTTCACAATGTTGATAAGTGAGTTGAGAATATAAAAAAACAATAATACAGGTAAATAAATCGGCCTTTATGTCTGGGTTTTGTTAAACATACGGTTGTACAATGATTCAGTATGAAACCATACTATGATGTTGAAGTTGGTATTTTCGAGTGAATGTATGTTTGGCGACGACTGAATGGCTTAACATTGAAAATAAAATCAATATGGTACACCGTAATCCGATCGCGTTCATTCTGACAGGGAATGTATATAAAGACAGTGATTTGTTCCGCAGAATATGCAACAAATTCTGCTTTAGAATTTATTCTGAACTTATGATAAACCTATGTTTTACAACCGAATATATATTGGTAAAACTGAATTCTGCGTTTTGATACAGCATTGTGTTCACTCGTAGTCGTCCTCGTTGGTTGATCTCGAATGCATTGAATTGAGCAGGTTATGGTAAATCCCCTCACTTATATCATCCAACTTATCCAAAAAGTCTTCTAAAATGTCTTCTTTCTCTTGTTTCGCAGCTATCACCTTGAAAAGAACGATATTGATAGCTTTATTATCACGACGAAGAAAAATGGAAAGTATATCAAATAATGGTCATCGTATTTTGAATATGACTGTCTTCACCGAATGATTAAATCATCAATTTCAAATTAGATTTAATTCTATTGAATTGCTGTGAAATAAAAAAAATGCTTACTTTCAGATCCTACATCTACAAGAGCCAGAGAATCATTAACGGATCATTAGGGATTATTCCAGTCGAGATCCACGCCCTATTTTTTTTCTCTATTTGATTTTATATGAGGATTCTCTTTACTTATACTCACAATTACATGATTATCTATAGAAAATTTGCTTTTCCTATTGACAAACAAATCTTCATGCAGGTCGTGTAGAGCCCGAAGATATTCCTATATGAATAGAAGGTACACAATGAACATGATATAAATTATCTGTACGAACCGGAAGTAAAACCCGCCAAATTCTCGTCATATTTATATAGTAATTAGAAAAACATCCGTCTATATAATAAACTGTATAGTTATACTTATGTCTGAGGTTTTTTTATTCATGTCAGTTTAACTTGCATCCAGATATGATGTTAATAGTAGGAGTTTGAGAGAAGAGGTTTGATAAACATATTTGTTGTCAAATGGTCAGGTCTTTCCTTATTCGGTGATACTCTACTTACACCTGAATAGCCACTGCCAGGTATTTAGATATTCAGTGATATTCTGCTAACACCTATATAGCTACTGCAAGGTTTCATATATTCAGTGATGTTTTACTAACACTGTCATCCCTTTATATATTTTGATGATATTCTACGTACACCTATATAGCCGCCGCTAGGTTTCATCGTAAAAAAATCAGAATGTACTTTAAGAAAAGCATTTACTTAACAATGGTACAGAGATGTTGATAGATACAAGTATACCGTAACAATTGCCAACTGTACAACACATACAGATCATCAAATTGTAATCACCAATGTAATCTTGTCTTCTTCCGGTCGGCCTCTTTTTCGTATTCTTTTATAAACTTCTTCCGGTGTTGTTTGTAGGTAGACTGTAACAGAAAAGATTACATTCTATATTCCTTGTCTCTGTGTTTATTTTGAATGTATCAAAGAACATATTGGTTTCATCATTGATTTGTCCTGTATCATGTCAAGATCATCTAAAGGTTGAAATGGAATGGAAAATGTGACAAACTCAGCAGAAATAAAAATTAAATTCATCGTGATGAAATTGAAGAGTAAATACAGACAACGTAAGGGAAAGTCCGAATGCTGACAATCAAAAATATATCAAAACATTTTAACATAGAAATACACCAACCGTATTATTCTATCTCTCATGTAAATTGTCATTTGAATGTACGGGTAGAAAAGTAAAATGTATACTTGAACTTTTCTTCAAATAACTAATTCCATTTTACTTCATAGAAGAAAAATTCATTATATTTGTTTAGTTAAACAGTTTTCAACGGCTAACTGCAATTCATTGAATAGGTCGTTTATAGCGTAATGGCCGTTAAAGTCGTTTTACCTGTAAGTCCGATGTTCAAGTCATGTGTCTTCCTCATCCATGTCATGAATTGGTTGATGACTACATATTCCATATCGCTCATATAACCGCTGAAATATTGAGGAAACAAACATCATGTAAAAACATCCCCACCGTTTTTATGACAAACATCATATCACCATTACCAAACAAACACGAAGGAATCCATAGCGACTCCAAGCATGATCTTATACATTATGTACAGTCGTTATAGACATCAAAAACAGAGAAAATACCAACATGCCAACAGAATCCTAATTCCAACTCAAACGAAATATAGATTTACGTGGCAAATACAAAAAAACAAGGAAAATAAGAGCATAGGTTCCAGAAGAGTAAGCGCCTTCTACAAATGAGGTCAACATGACGACCATAAAACTTTCCAGTTATGTTTTTATCAATTTGCATCATCTGAAACCTTGTTCGTAAGTTCGTCTGTCAGTTGTCGACATCTTTTCAGATAATCAACGTTTACTGATTGTGTTAGAGACTCAGATTTCTTTTTCCTATTTCATCAAACCGAGAGCATTTAATTTATGTTTATTTTTTCTCACTAATTACTAAATATATTGATTGAACTGCGAATTACATTATATAGTTGTGCCGTCTTCAC